TGATTTCTTTTGTTAGATTAAGGTTAAAGCTCAGGTGTGTTCTGGGAACTCAGCGCGGCAGCCCCTCCCTGGCCTCATGTTCGGGGGGTGTGGTGTTCTGTTGGGTGGCGAGCGCAGTTCCTTAGCCCAGGGGAGGGCTGATGGAGAGATGATTCTGCGCCTCAAGAGCTATTTATCTTCGTGCCTAACGAGCTCTCGTCTAAACCCAGAAGCTGTGGTGGGGTTTGTGGGGGTTTTGTTTTTTAACACGCCATTGGAATCCAAGGACAAGTGAATGGTTTGAAAGGTTACCGTTGGGGAGGCTGTGCGCGCGGCCGGTGGTCTTCCGGCCCTTGGGGTGCCCCATGGCGATGGGGGTGCAGGTGACCATGTCCTTCTCTTTGTTTAGGCATCCAGGGCTTCTGTAAGGACTTGCTGGAGGTCGCAGATATCTTGGAGAAGGCGACGCAGAGTGTCCCGAAGGAGGAGGTCAGAGACGACAATCCTCACCTCAAGAACCTCTACGAGGGGCTCCTGATGACGGAGGTCCAGATCCAGAAGGTGTTCACCAAACACGGCTTGCTGCGGCTGAACCCCGTGGGTGCCAGGTTCGACCCCTACGAGCACGAGGCCCTGTTCCACACGCCAGTGGAGGGCAAGGAGCCCGGCACGGTGGCGCTGGTCAGCAAAGTGGGGTACAAGCTGCACGGGCGCACCCTGAGACCTGCGCTGGTGGGGGTGGTGAAGGCAGCTTAATGACCTCACTGGGCTCCTGTGGGTTCTTTGCGATCCCCTGCTGTAGCTCTTGAAAGGTTCATCTTTGTGAATACCTTTGACCCTTTCCCTGTCCTTGCTGGAAAGCTTTAGTAACCAGTGGCTAAAGAGAAAATGAAGCCGGTTGCACAGATGCGTGAATGAACTTAAATTCGGGAGTCTGTTCGTTGATTTTTAATACACCTTTAATCGCTCTACATGCTTATAGAACAGGCCAGCAGGACACGACTGGACCCTAGAGGGTCACGAATCATGCTCTAGCTGGTTAAAGCCTAGTGACATCCAGGTACCATAAATGAGTCAATGCCTTCGGGAACCCCACTTGGGCTGCGCGCTGTGGCTCACTGGGTCCCGGGCGCTCAGCCTGAACCTTCCTGTGCAGAAGGGAAGGCGAGAGCTTGAGCGTGTTCTTCCTGCTCAGAAAAGTTTCGCCATGCCCTCACTGAAGAACATACGAGTTCATTTGTAATTCGTTACGGTCTAGCAACGAAAACACCCGACTTCCGGCTTCCTTCTGGAGATGGGAAGTGAGCACATGCGCCTGAACAGGTCTCACCAGCTTATTTTGCCCGTTACTGAATTTGACAAAATCAGTCACCTTTGCCCTTTTGTTCATCTATTTGCAGAAATGTTCAGATCTCTAGTCGCCACTTACTAATGACCGGAAGGTCTTTTCCCTAGAAAGACGGACTTGCTCAAAATCTGAGGATTGCATGCTTCGTACATTTTAAATGTCAATGTTTAATTTTCAGATTTTATTTAAGAGGATTAAAGCCCTAATGTGTTTATTTTCCTACTTTCTGGAAACTGTTTTGTGTACTTTGGTGGAGGAGACCCACCTACACTGAGCAGGATTTCGCTTTCCCGCTCTCGGCTCAAATCCCGAAGCCTTGTGCTTGACACTCAGACATGCCACACATGGTAGCTTCCCCGTGGGAAGGGAGAGCAGGAGGAACGGGGCCTTGGCTAGGGACAGATGTTGCCATCCACGGCCCTGGGGAAGGGACTGGGGACGGGTCCGCACCACTCTGTAGGCCCCTCTGTTGCTCATTCACACGGGGTGTTGAGAGTGAGCGGTTACAGACCAGACAAAAGCCAGCCTCCCGCTGTCTGTGCTGCAGAGAGGTAGGTCTAGGACCGAAGGTCAACACTATTAATTCATTGACTACGTAAGAAAGGTGGGGCGGTTGACTTTGCTTGTAATTTTGAAAGATGTAGGTAGTATTCCCATAATTAAAAATTTAATTTATACTATTTCAAAGTATTTTCCTCTTTTCTGTGAAGCAGTCTTAGTAAGTTTGTTGGTCACAAACTTGCCCCAGAACCGCAGGCAGCGTAGTGCACTGAAAAAACCCACCAAGGTCAGAGCTCTGCAAGGGTCTTGCATCACCTTCCTGGAACTTCTATAAACTGAAAGCCACATGAGGAATTTTCTTTTTCTTTTTTTTTTTTTTAAGATTTTATTTTATTTATTTGACAGAGATCACAAGTAGGCAGAGAGAGAAGAAGGGAAGCAGGCTCTCCACTTGAGCAGAGAGCCCGATGCGGGGCTCGATCCCAAGACCCTGCGATCATGACCTGAGCCGAAGGCAGAGGCTTAACCCACTGAGCCACCCAGGTGCCCCCACATGAGGAATTCTCAAACAAATTTCTACACCTGTGTGTAGCCCCTTCCTTGTCAGCTGGGGCATGACCACTGGGGGGGCTGCACCCCAGGAGACTCTGGGGATGGACTGTGGCTCCGCTGTGGGTTCCCATCACCCTGCATTGCCCCTGAAAGGGAAGCACCTCTCTACACTGGAGGGGAGACCTGACGGCATCCCGCCCAGGGCCCCAGAGTGCAGGACTGCGGGCCAGACACCACCAACTAGGTGGCACCATTTGCTCCTGGGGGGCCTTTGTGGCCGGGATCTGCCTGAGACACGCACACGGTCCCCGGGGATCTGCTGCTGGCAGCCAGAGGGAGCAGGTATGAGGGGCTTCTGATTAGTAGCCAGTTTAACTCCTACCTGGGAGGGAAAACCTGTCTGACGCCGGAGTGCTGAGCTCAGACACGTCCCAAGCATGCCGTCCCCAGCTCGAGGGGCAGCCGCAACACCACTTTGTTCCCCACTTGTTGAATGTGTAAAAAGTGCTAAAAATTGTAGAGTTTCTCTTTTTTACACATCCTTGAGATACTGGCCATCCAGAGGGCATTATTTTGAATGGCTGAATTAACTTTTTGGACTCAAGTCAGTTTCAATTTGGAAAAACCCTCATTTCATGGGATGCAGGGATGAATTTGACATGTTGAAGCTCAAGGGCCCCGTGCTGGCGGCCACAGTGAGGACCGACGGGCTGCACAGCCCGCGGGGATGGGCTCAGAGGCAGCCAGTGAGGACAAGCCGTCTTCTCGGGACAGCCTGATGCTATAACGTCAGTCATGCGTTTACAGTTTTAAAACAGCCAAGCCTAAGCAAGTTCTTCATACCACTGAGAAATATACACATCCTGAAAACCTGCTTAAGCACAGAATTGCCCGCTGGACAGCCCGGTTGGCCTGGGCCACATGCTGACACAGGCTTTGGCTTCTCCCGCTTAAGTCTGCCAACCATTTCATATCAAAATAATAGCAAATTTAGAACCTCACCCAACCAGGAACCTGGTGCAGGAAATGAGTAAATCTCAAGGTGGGAGGAGCTGCAGCCTGAGCCGCCCAACCAGCTTGCCTGCCAGCGGCAGGGCCCTGCCTGACTGGTCTCAGAGCCCTGCCCCTAAGGCCTGAGGGTCCGCAGTTCTAGAAGGTTCCCAGGGGCCGGAAGCGCAAGTGAGAGGCAACATCCCCATCATTGCTCAGGGGCAGACCAAACCTGCGCTCCCTGCTGTGCGACTATCCCCGCAGTGAGCCCACAGAGGGGACAACAGGAGGAGGCCTCGTGAGTACCACCCCTGCTCGCTCCTTCTACAGTCACAAAAGCCCGGGGCTTGGCTACCAGGGAACACTACTGGCCAGCGTGCACAGTACAACTAAAGCCACGTACGATATATTTGAAATGTTTTATTTAATGCTGAAAAATTTACCCTGGGGGACAGAAGGATGTAAAAAGAAAGGAAAAGGCACCGTAATTAAGTCCTTGGAAATGAGGGTCTTTTTTTCTTTTGTCTTTCGAATAACTTCACTTTAATGTAACTGCAAGCCTGAACATTGTGGGAGGTCAACAGTCTCTTGGGAGCTATGGGGGCAGGAGAGGCAGGATGAGCGCCAGGAAGAACAGAGCGCTGGGGTCTGCAGTCACCCTGGCCCTAGAGGGGGGCCTTGGCCAGGAGAAGCAGCACTGAGCAGCAGGAAGACAGATGACAGACTCAAGTTCCCGGAAAGAAGGCACCGTGTCCATCCACAGAAGCGGGGCCCCTGAGGAGACAGCAGGGCTGGGCAGAAGCTGGGCGGTTCAAGAGCAGGACCCAGAGAAGCCCTGTGGGGCCTCGCCCTGAGGGCTCCCTCCTTCTCATTCGAGCCTGCTGTGGGTGCAGCCCGGTCCAGCCTGGCCAGTCTGCAGAGTGCTGGGGGCCACCTGCAGTAGGACGCTTAGCCTGGCTAGCACGGTCAAGATACAGAGTTTCCGTGAAAAAGGTTATTGCAACCACCATGAGAATTCTGGAGGAAATAGACTGCAGAACTCAGAGCCCTCCACTCTGAGTTCTTCCAAGTAAATGGGGTGCTTAGTACTGCAAGTACAAGAGCAAGCAGCAGCACCCCAAAGGCTGGCTCAGAGTTCTGGCACCCACACTAGTCTTCCCATCTCCTCCAGAACACCCCTCCCCACACCAGGGAGCCTGTTGGTGGGGGGGATCCTGTGCTGGCCCTGAAGGTGAGCCCACAGGCTCCACCGCCCCGCCCCCCGCCCCAAAGAGGCCAGGGGCGTTTCCGGGCTCTGGTATCATGAGCTGCGACCCTGGCTGCAGGGGTCAAAAGGAAGCTCCTTTGGACATCCTGTCCCACCCACTCTTCCTCTAAAGCTCCCAAGGAAACTTCCTGTGGTTCTCCAGCCTCACCTCCCACCTGCCCCACCCTGGCCCCCACGTAAAGTGCCGCGTGCTGGGGCTGTGCTGGGGTGTCCGCGGGGTTGGCAGTGGGCCCCCCAAGGGCGTCCCTGGCAGCCAGCCAGAGGTCACATCACAGGGCCAAGCTGGTGGCTGGCGGGCCCAGCAGAAAGCTGCTCTTTTCACCCACAGCCCAAGAGTTGCGTACCAAAGGGAAGACACAAAAGGAAATGACCCAATCTCATAATATTCCCCAAACTGAACATGGAAAGGCAAATCGTCATCTGGAGGTGTGACTTTAGGATCAAGTTAAAATATACATGTGTCGGCTTCCCCCATGATCCGGCATAAAATCGTTACTATTGCTTCTTTCAGAGGACCATGAGCAGAATTTATAGCCTAAAAGAAAGGAACTCAATCTGCTTAAAAAAGAGCACCTCCTCCCCCTCCCACACCCCCAGTCCTCTAGGCTCCCTGCAGAGCCACGGGCTTTCAGGAGGCCTCCCTGGATATCCACCCGCTCTCCGTGAGGAAGTTTAAAATCCTTTTCTTTAGGACTTTGTCCAAGTAGCTCGGAAGGCGGCTTTTGGAGGGGATGCCCTGCCGCTTCTGGAGGTGGTCCTTGATGATGATGGTCTTCACGGTCACGTAGCGCGCTGGGCTCAGGTTCAAGGAGCTGCAGAGCACCTTCTCGCGGTCCGACAGCAGCTCAAAGCCCGGCAGGTGTTCGATGGCTGCGAACTCGCCGTCCCTGCCGTCTTCCTTGCCCCGCCTGGCGCCGGCCGCGCTCTTGTTCTCCTTCCTCTTCTCGCGCTTGTGGCGTGCCGCCTCGTACTCGGCCGACTCCTCCAGCTTGGTGATGCCGTTGCGCCGGTAACGCTGCAGCTCGCGGATCTTGGCGCGCAGCATCTTCTCCTTGTGCATGCCCTCGAACAGGTCGTCAAACTCCTTGCACGACATGAACTGGTAGAGCGGGCGCAGCTTGAGCCGCAGCTCCTTCTCCTCCTTTGTGACCTTGCGCTTGGCCGGCCGCTCCTTATCCTTCTTGTCCTTGCCCAGGAAGGCGGGCACCAGGTTGTAGTCACGCGCGATGTTCTTGCGCCGCTGCCTCTCCCTTAGCTTGCGCACGTACATGTCCACGTGCGCGCGCTTGAGCTCGATCTCCACGTCCTCGTCGTCGTAGTTGACCGAGAGCCCGCTGATGAGCGTCTCGGCATCCTGGTCGTACTCGATCTCGTAGTCGTCACGCAGCGGCATGTAGCCCAGCTGCTGCTGCTCAGCCACCGAGATGTCTAGGGGAGGCAAGGGGGTGGTGAGGCTGGGGGACAGGGGCCCTCCGCCGGGGCACGTGTGGTCGGTCACCCGGTTGGGGATGGTGTCGGGGATGCAGGCTCTCCCCAAGTTGCCGTGGATGTACATGCTTACGTAATGCTCCATCACCTCCTGCGGCGTGCGGGAAGCTCCCACGTGCGCGGCCATGTCCTCCTGCAACGACAGGGACCACAGGTTAAAGCGGCGGTCGGCGTGGCGCGCGTGCCCACTTCCGGCCTGTGTCACCCCCGCCCCCAAGGGGCCCCAGGTGGTGCGCTCTTTGCAGCCGGCCTCAGCACGCGGCTGCGGACACTAGAGAGGCTGAAGGGGTACGATCTGGAGGCGCGCCTACCAGCGCGCTGACACCGGGCCCACTTTGCCCCTTGGACTCCGCTCTCCTGGGGCCCACCTGTAGTGGCCTCGTGGCCACACGTCTCCCTGCACTCTGGGCGCGGTCAGGGAGCACCCAAGCTGCCCCGCCTCTTCCCAGGCCCACCAGGGCTCCCCAGCCACAGCTCCCGGCACAGGACGGACCCTGCTGTATGGTGCTGCCTGCCTCCAGGAACCAAAAGGACCCGGCCCCTGGGAGTGTAGGGGGTTGGCAGCCTATCCCCTTCCTGGGTGATGGTGCCAGGGACCAGCTGTGCCTTCTCAAGGGGCGGGGCCGTCACTGGTGACAGGCTCCACAGTTAGGTAGCTGGAATCTGCCATGGGCTGTGAGCACACATGCCTGTAGGAGGTGACCTATGAACACGAGGGTTATTAATGAGAGGAAATTATACAACTCCCCCAATCTTTTCCTTCTGCCAAGAGGCCTCTTCCTCAGTCAACCACTAAAGCCACTTCACAAAGGAGCTGCCCAAAATGCGCACTCATTCACGAGCAGCCGCTCAGCCCCTGCCTCCAGCCTCCGCTCACCCTGCACCCAGCTCTGCCGTTCCGGCAGCGGCCAGGGCCCAGCGCCACTGCTCTGTGCCCTTGCCCCTTAGTCCTGTGAGATCAGGTTGGTCTCTGCAGCCCCAAAGGCCAAACTGGACTCCAAGAAACCACCCAGTCCACTCGGGTTGAGGACTGAGGACACACCGGGCACCATTGGAGGGAAGTGCTCCTGAGAGGGAAAAGAACCTGCGTGGGGCCTGAGTCCCAAGGGCAGGGCTCCAAGACAGGGGGACAGGACAATGCTGGGGCCTAATGTAGGAGGACCCTTTCTGAGAATCTAAGAGAAAAGGGAAGATTAGAGCAAACACCAGATTCTGGTCTTTTGGGGAAGAACTGTGTCCATGATTAACTTCTTTAAAATGTTACTGTTTGCATCAAATCTGTTTGTATTTTCCCAAGGACGATTTACCTCGCCCCACCCCAAAAAAAGAAAAAAAAAACAAAAAAACAAACCAAGTCACAACCATCCCAAGCATCTATGGCCACCACATGACCCAAGCTGGTCGCTTCCCATCTCCGGGCCTTGAGTTCCTTCCAGTAAGGAGACAGGAGTCAGCCCCAGCACCCACCCTGCACCTGCCACGGGCACTGTGGACAGAGTGCCCAGAGGCTTGGCGCCCCTGTGAGGGGCCCAGCTCAGATCCCGCTCAGAGGGGCGAGCTAGCCAGTGGGCATTCTTCCACCCTGATGAGCTACGCCGGAAGAATACCAGCCCTGACACCTGCGCGTTCAGGAGGGAAACACAGCCTCACAAGGGTGTCCAGACACAGAAATAGCCACATGCTCCCGGTCCAAGATTCCAGGGCCCAGGCGCACAGCCAGAGGTTGTACGGGCCCAGGGTCTTCACCATCCCTCACCACAGCTTCGGTGAGGGCCTGTAGCTGCTACAAATTTCCGAGTCCAGCATCCAGGGAGCCTCCTGGGTGAGGGACCTGGGGGACCCCTTCAGCAGAGGCTCGGGGGGTCTGGGCCGCACATCCAAGCTTACCCGGTTGGAAGTCGGGCCCCAGGCCTTGCCCCCAGCCTGGCCCAATGAGACCTGCACAGCGGGCTACCCAGCCAGCGTCCAGAAGCACCAGCTACCCCCCTAGCAAAAGTCCCCTCAGCCTGAAACTCAGCAATCTGCCTTTCAAAAACAAGTGGATGGCAGAGCCCGCGTGTTTCGGAGAAAACTGAAATCCTGAAAAACAGAAAGATTCTGAGTAGTCAAGTTGACTAACTTCACCAAACCAAGGTGTGTTACTGGTTAGAGGTTCTTGCCATCAACTCTGAGACTGTGGGAGCAAGAGCAGGGGATGGAAACCACAGAGGGCCTTCAAAGCTCTGGGCCGGAGCAGGGCCATACAGGACCTCCTGTCCCCAGCTAGTGTCCCCTCTCACACGCCCAGCAGCTGGCAACACAACACGGAATGAGTGTGTACATGCCGCTGCTGTTGTCCAAAGGGCTGGAGGACACCTGGGGCAGAGGGGATGGGGAGGGAGCCATTCCACTGGACACTGGCTTCCGGCCTGACCATTGTCATCCTCAAGAACACTGTGTCCAATTCTAAGTCATAAGGAGAAATCCCACAGTGGGGAGGAGGGAGCGTCTGAAGAGCGACCCTGTCCCACGCTGTCCCACGGCCCAGCCCAGGCATCTCAGCCTCAGCACCAAAGTACAGCAGCCAGACCCAAATTACGGAACATTCTACAAAACACCAGCCAGCACCCCTCCAGCGTGTCGCAGTCACAAGACAAGGAAAGAACTGTGACCTGAAGAGACCCATCAGCGACATCGCTGGGGTGTCCTGGGTGGGAACCCAGGCCAGTCTGTGCATGAGTGAGTGGCTCTGAGTCAAGGTCAGCACCCTGCTTTCTGGAGCCACACCACACCTCTGCGAAATGCCGCTGTTCCAGGAGGGTTATGAGAGGAACACACGTGGGAACTCTGCATACTACTGTTTCACTTTTTTGGGTAAATTGAAAATAAAAGTTATATTTAAAAAATAAAATTAAATTCTTTTTTCTTTTCATAGAGAGAGAGAGAGAAAGAGGGAGAGTGGGGTGGGGGAGAGACAGTGGAGAGAGAGGCTCTCAAGCCAACTGCATGCTGAGCATAGAGCCCGGCGTGGGGCTCGACCTCATGGCCCTGAGATCATGGCAACCTGAGCCAAAATCAAGAATCGAACACTTCATCGACGGAGGCCACCCACGAGCCGCCAAAAAGTAAAGATAAATTCTGCCTCGCAATTTTGTTGAGCGGTATAAGATTGACATCCAAACATTAGAAAAGAAAACACAGAGCGTTCAAGAGAAGGCTGTTCCATCACGTGGGAAAGCTGCCCTGTCCACGGCGGGTGCGGTGTGGCTCTGTGGTCACAGGCCCGTGACAAGGGCAACGTGCACTCGGCAGACAAGCACCCTCCTGGGGCCCCGGGCCAGCCAGGGAGCAGGCCAGCCGGCCGCGTGGGCACTTTGGGTGCACAGACCCTCTTCACGTCGAGGCAGACTCTGGCTCTCGGACAGATCCAGGTGATGAGTACTTACAAAGCCACGAACCAAATCAGAGTGGCTAGCGCCTCGTCACCAGGAGCCCAGGAATCTGTCACCAATCACCCTTACCCGCTGCCCGACAACAGCTCAAAGGCCACGGCCAACACTGCATTGGCTGGCAGCTGCTGCTGAGAGAGAATCCTGCCCCTGGGCCGCCGTGTTCGTCTCATGACCATCGAGAAAGGCCCAGGAAAACACACAAAACCCTCATTTCTCAAAGCTCTGGAAACAGAGAAGATCACAAGAGAATCATCTGCACAGGAGAGAGGACACAGCTCTGGCTCTAAACAGAATCCACAGAGAGCAGACAGGTTCCATGGCACTAGGTGACAGTGAGGAACACACTTTACAAGATGACTAAAAACAGCGGGAGCGGCAGCACCCCACCCCACACTGGCACCTGCCCGCCACACTGTCCTCTCCCATCTGCACACGTCAGCAGTCACGTGAAACCTGCCCACCTCCCACGAGGGGCACAAGTGTCCTGTCACCGCCCTGGTGTCACCTGCAACAGCTACCGTGCACATGCTCAAGGTCGAAGTTTCCGCTTAATCTAGATGACGGATGGATAGAGGAACGGACGGACGCACGGATGGGCAGGCAAAAGCAACAAAAGTGGGTCTGGGGGGACAGATCTGGAGAGACAAAGACAACTCAAGTACACCTACAATTAAACAAGGGACACGAGTGTACCCTGCAGCTGGTGTTCCCTGACACAGGGCAGCACAGGGGTGAGGAGCCCACAGTCAGTAGCGACAGAATCCCAGGTTCTGCCCCTGCATCCTCACTAAGAAAAGGACACCCACCCCTGGAAAAGGGTAAGGCTAGATATGCTGCTTCCTCAGAGTCCTTAGAGAAATGAAGGAAAACACACCTCTAGGACACTGAACGGGCCTCAAGTCTACAGTCCAAGGTCATCAGACTCCCCCTGGGTGCTGGCTCTCAGGGACAGGAAGTGAGCACCCTAGTGACTCAGGACTCCGCGGCCTTCTGTGGTGGTCTGGTCTCCTTCCAGCCTTCCCATGGCTCATGGAGAGGCCTCCAGCCCGGGAGCAGGGACGGGAAGGGGAGGGCAGTCAGAGCAACCGTCGGCAGCGTCAGCCGCCCCCCACACCGCCCCTGTGCCGTGGCCTGCGGGCACCCGCAGCCGTCTCCTCCTTTCCCCCCAGAATGGCTGCCTGCCCACTGCTCTGTGCAGACATCCCCCCGACAGGTGCAAGCCCCATGGGGTCACTCCCACCGATGACAAACCTTCAAAGGCTCCTATCAGGGAGTCCACTACAGCTCCCACCAGATTGGCCCATGATCGAGGGGAAACTGAAAACCTCGGGACAACTAAGGCTTTCCCTTAGAGCTAAACTTTTGCATTTAAAGGACAGTTCTTCATTCCCAGATGATGTCGTTCTTGTTTGGAGAGTACTAAGATAGTCTTTCTTTCTGGAAAATGGTGAGAGAGTATTAATCAGGTCAGATATTAATATCCTTATTTGGCAGACTTGAAGTCAGCAACTCTGGGTTAGCCTTTGATATACCGTTTTCGACAGCACTCGTCTCCAAAGTCTGAGTGTGCGGGAGGCCTGACCTGTCAGGGGTCCATGACACGGAGTCTCAGACCCCTTCCTGGCCCCCGCCGGACCCCACACGACCCGCCCCGCCATCCAGGCCAGCGGCCCCAAAGCCTTGCCAGATGCTCCCTTTCTCT